AAGTCACTGGAAATCAAAACGGCGTTTCGTCGTAGCAAAAAAGTTGCTTCGCGCAATTTAGATCTGGAAAAAAAAAAGTTCTTGTTGGCTGACATTTATTGACTGCCAATATTTTTTTTTTTTTTTTACAACTTTAATATACACTTCATTACGTTACAATTCTATCATATAATTTAATGCAAAGAGTAAAATATATAACATAACATAAGAATACGTAATTTAACAATTATAATAAAATATAACGTTAGATTAATAAACACTGTTTTTTTTTTTAAATAAAAACTATTGTTTCTTCAAATATAAACATGTTGTTGTAAAGGAGACTCGTAGAAGACTATGAAGTCTTATCATCAAGTACCTTTTCAAGTGGTTAAATAAATTTAATTAATTTTTATATATAGTTAAAAGTGGTTAAACAATACACAGTCAGTGATACACATAAACATTTTAGTATAAATCTTGTTGTTAAGTTTAATACATGTCAATAAAATTTTTGATATTAAGTATGAGGTGTTTTAATTTTTTTTTCAAGGTGGCAGAATTATTTAATGCTTTAAGTTCTATATTTTCGGATATTATTTTGTTATATAGGTACGGACCCCGGTAGGAAATAGAGAATCGAAATAGAGAATCGAAAATCGAGAATCGAGAATATAGGTTCTATTTTACCAACCCTCCTCCCCTCCCCTCCTCTACGTCTCTTTTCGTGATTTTTTTTCCAAATTTTTATACAGTAAAAGGTTTTTTTAAAGAAAATTAACTCTTAACAGTACACTAATTATTTATTTATCGACTTCAATTGAGCCTCGACCGTTATGCAGATATTGCAGAAGTATACTCATATCAGTTCGGCGTTCATGTATACGATTCATTAAATTTGTACACATTTTCTTGCTTGTGTTATTGTCAGCATCTTTTAATTTTGTAAGCATAAAATTTAATAGCAATGTCAGCTGTAATTTAATAGCAATGTCTGCTGCATTTCATTAAAAAAACTGTTATAAAAATTAATAAAAAAAATAAAAGCTTATATATTATTGGGGACATGAACCTAGATACGCTAACCTATAAAAAATTTTCTAAAACAAAATCTTTCTTCGATATGCTTTTTAAATACAACGTCTTATCAGTTATTAATAAACCAACACGTGTTTCAAAAAATTCAGCAACTGCAATCGACAATATTTTTATTAAAACAGCGTTTGAAACTGGAATATTCCAAATTGACATCAGCGATCATTTTCCGATTTAAAAGTAAACTATTTAAAAACTATGCTTGATAGCCAACCTAATGTTATCAGTTTAAAAAAACGTAACGTATGTGTAGATCAAGACAATGGTCTTTAGATTTTATTTCTAATAGTTCAATGCATTTTTCTGCTAGCATTGACTCTGTTATTCGCACTAAACCCAAACTCCAAAACTGAGAATTTTTTCCATGAACGTTAACAATAATATAGCGACGATTTCGATGTGATGTCCATTCGTCAATGTCTAAATCGTCAAGACAAAGAACCAATTTGTCCAATTCGTCAAAACAAAGAAATGACGTCCAATGTTGTCCAATGACGTCCAAACCATGACGTCCAATTCATCAAGACAAAGAAAATTTCTCTCCCACCCTGAATTTTGAACTCTTGAGTGCTTTAATTGTGCTTACTGACATTGGTAGATTTCTAAATCCCATAGCAGTTGAAGCGGCACGTAAATTTATTGAAGAAAAAATCACATTAAATGGAAGCCCATCAGACGCCGTTAGACGAGCAAGTGTAGTGTAAAGTGTTTTATTTTCCTTTTCTAAAATTGAAAAGTATTCTGTTAGTGGTTTAGATTTTTTTTTTTGGTGGTTTATCTGATGTGCTTTCTTTGTAAATATTAGGCTGGGTTGGACTTTCGACCTTCACATTATGCACCCACTACATGTATATATAAAGTCCTTTTGTTGAACCACCACAGATTTTTAAAATCTTCTTGCAGTTTAGCAATGTACACATCGCTGTTTGCCCTTTTTCTACTCGTAGAAAATATTTCGAAACAGCTGAGTTACTTTTAATTGTAAAATCTGCATACGTCATGCTTATTTAAGTTTTAATTTTAAGAGTAAATCTTGTAAAAGGGCGTTTTTTATTTCAGTTTAAAAAAGTTTATTTTGCAGAATTACAGAACAGAATACTGAAAATAGAATTACTTTCTGCGATATTAAACTAAGTAAAAATTATTATATTGATGGGCATAAATTGTTCTTATTTTTATATACTTTTTGATTTCCTCTTTGTTTTGCTCGATCGTATAGGGAATCCCGGGATTGATACTTTTTTATTTTTTTATTATTTTTTTATTTTTGCCGTTTAATATTACAATAACTAAATATATTTTACAATTTTTTACATTAGTAACGACAGGACTTCTAGAAGATCATGAGGATCTTGTCATGAAGCTCTTTACAATATATGGTTAACTTTTAATAAAAATACAATGTCTGTAGTGAAATAATAATACACCTCTATGCAAAAATATTTAAAAACCAAGATAAAATGTTAAAAAGCCAAGATAAAATTTTAAACCAAATAATATACAAAATAAAACAACAACAAAAACAAAAAAAAAAGGCAATTAAAAATAAATCAAGATATTTTCAATTAAACATATAATTTTTTTAAGTTTCTGTTTGAATGAAGCAAAAGTCATTTGGGTTGAAAAATCAAAATTTGGTAAGACTATTTTGTTCCAGAGATAAGGACCTCGGTAAGAAACAAAAAACTGGTCTTTGCTTTTACGACAAAAAGGGGCAATAAGACTGTTATTAATTCGAAAATTATATTTGTTTTTAGGTTTCATACAATAAAAATTTTGTAATACATTTGGCGACAAATTTTCTCTACATTTAAACATGAAACATAAAATATTAAAGATATTTAGTTGATATACATTTAAAATATTCATTTCTTTAAAAAGTTGTTTCGTATGAACAAACCGATTTTTAAAATTTATTACGCGAGTTGCGTGTTTCTGATGAAGGTAAAGAGATTTTAGCTTTGTTCTGTGAGTGCTTCCCCATATAATATTCGCGTAGTCTATATGACAATGTAAAAATGAATAATATAATTGTGTTAACTGGTGTTTACTTAATATATTTCTTGCTTTATAGAGAATTCCAATGCATTTAGCAATTTTATTGGAGGTATTATCAATATAATTTCTCCAAGATAGGTTTTTATCAATATATACTCCAAGAAATTTAGTAACTTTTTCTCTTTTTATTATTATATTATCAATTAGAAGGTCTGGCATGATATGGGGCAGTTTCTGGTATTTTAAAGGTGGATAAAAAAAAGTCCATTTAGTTTTTTCTATATTTAGAGACAATCTATTTTGTTTAAACCAAACAGAAACTTTTTTTAATTCATTTGTCATATATTTGTCATATATTTGTCATATATTTGTCAATAAAATAACATATGATATTATTAGATCGCAGCTGAAAAACAAAACAACCCCACAACATTTTTTAGATAGTATCAAAGGGTTGTGCAATAATCATGAACTAAATCTGGAGACAATAATGCAAGATAAAAAAAAAAAAAAATTGTCGGCCTCAAAAATTTAATTCCTGAAACGGATCTTCAATCTTTAAAATGTGCAGTTTGTTTAATAAATCTAAAATAAAATAAAAATATTTGTAAAAAGCATATTAAAATCTTTATGAGGCAAAAACAAATTTGTGTCATCTGAAAAATTTATTGTTGTTAAATTTGATGATTTATGAAGATCATTTATGTATATTAAAAAAATAAGAGGACCAAGTATGGATCCTTGTGGAACACCACATATTATATTCATTAATAGATGAGATATAGAATCTTTATTGTAAACAAACTGTTTACGGTTAGTAAGATAACTTTCAAACCATAATAGGGTTTTATCTTTAATATCATTTGATATTATTTTTTTTAACATGATTTGATGATTGACGGTATCAAATGCCTTGGACAAATCAATAAACACTCCAAGAGTAAAACAAGGGTCTCTAAGTGAGTCGGTTATATTGCGCGTAAGTTGAAGAATGGCATGCTCGGTTGAATTATTTTTTTTGAAACCAAATTGGTTTTCGTATAGAATTTTATGATGAATAGATATTAGATAATAGATATTATAGATATTAGATAATAGATTTATGATGAATAGATATTAGATAATCCCGGGATTATAAAAAAGGCCGGGATCTCGGGATTGCAAACCCTAATATAAAAGTATTACAGAAAAAAAGTAGATGACAAATTATAGCGTTTTTTTTCCCCCATATACTATTCTTCATCCTTATCTGATATGATACTGATTCCTCTAATATATTAACGATTTTAGTCGACAATAAATATTTGTCCAATACTTCATCCAATACGACATCCGAAGATAGGAGCAATATTTTTATGAACTTAGTAGTTGGTATCACGATTATTTTTACGGTGTTATGGTCTTTGTATATGGATATACAAAAAGTATAATACTATTAATAGTATAGTTTATAATTGGTAGCAATTTTCCTGCGCATTTTCTCTTAGTATATCTATTGGCAACAAAAATTATTTTGTTGTGTTTAAAGGAATATAAAGTGCATGCTTACTTTAATCATATTTTTTCAATTGAACCTTTACACACGTAACAAAACAAAATAAAGACACCAGTAAATTAGCAATAAGTAAATGCTATTGCTTTTGAAAGTATTTACGGTATTTAAGTGTCGGTCAAAACAACAATTATTTTGTTGATAGAGCAACATACTAAATGATGCGTGAGTTTTGATAAGATCAGTTTTTAATCGATAAAGTTATAATAATTGGGAATTTAAATAAAAGGTTAGTAATATCTTATTAACTAATATTATCAATATTTTTATGACAATCTAAATTCTATTGAAACTTTTTTTTTAATGTTGGTAAAGTTGTTTGAACGTTATTTAAGGAAATTAAAACTACCCGCTCAAAAAAAAAAAAAAATTCTACTAAATGCAAATCTCAGGATAAGTCGGATAAGACTTAAAAACAAAATGAATACAATCTGCTTTTTAATAAAAAAAAAAAAAATTAACGTGACTTTGTAATCTTATATCTAAAAATCCATTTGAGTATGTCTTCATGTAGACTTTTGAAGCATTGGTCTTTCTCAAACCGACACAACCACTCAAATACAAAAACCGATTCACGAGGGTGAGGAAACGCATACTCCTAGAAATAAGGTACTTTTAGTTTACACTTAAATACATATTATTATATATAATACTTTTTATTATCATATATACTACTTTTTACACAATAAAATCACTAAAAATAAAGATTACCTTTACGCAGATTTTAAAAGCTTCTGCTTCAGCAACTAAACTTTGTCTTTGTTGCATGTTAGAATTTACTTCTGGCAAAATTGCGTTTGCGTTTTGACTGCTATCATCACAAGAACTCTGGCGAATTACCAATTCAATCATATCATCAACAAGTTCTTTAACTATGCGACCTGCATTCTTAACATTTTGCGTGTCGTGAATGTTATTCTTGCGAGTGTAAGCGATTAAGTTATGCTTTATGTCATGTTCAATTATTTCTCGGTCAACTAAATCAATTTGTTCGATTACATTATAATACTGAATATGATCATCCGATAATAGAATCTTTTTTAAAAAAACTATTAAATAAAAAAAATCATTATTATTCAAAGTGATTTTATTGTTTTCTAAAGTATTATAATTAAAATCATCTACTATGTTATTGAGCATATTCTTGAAAAGGTCTGTGTCTCCAACATTACATATGTCTCTGGAAGCACGTTTCCACCATGCCTTATATAAATAACCAACGTATTTAAAAGCTACAAAGTTTGTAAAACAATCGTTCTCCACATAGTCAGACGACAAAGCACGACCGAATTTTGTTTTTAGTTCTATATAGGACATTTGTGACTTAGGAAAAAGAGTTTCAAATAAAAAAATTAAAGAGTTATTAAAACCGCTCGATAATAGCCCATTGAAAGCTGTGAGCCATACTTTAAAACAATTTTCTATGTCAAACTCTAGCAAAGACAAAATTCCTGAAAGTACACGATCAGCTACTATTCCTATAATCTAAAGAAAAAAAATCAAAGTTATTTAATTAAAAATAAGTTAAAAAACATAGTGAGATTTTATAATTATTTAATAAAATTACATGCACACACTTATATATACATACACACACCCACATATATACATATATACATATATATATATATATATATATATATATATATATATATATATATATATATATATATATATATATATATATATATATATATATATATATATATATATATATATATATATATATATATATATATATATATATATATATATATATATGTATATGTATATATATATATATATATATATATATATATATATATATATATATATATATATATATATATATATATATATACATACATACATACATACACATACATACATACACACACACACACACACACACACATATATATATATATATATATGTATGTATGTATGTATATATATGTATGTATGTATGAATGTATGTATGTATGAATGTATGTATGTATGTATATATATATGCATATATATATGTATATATGCATATATATATGTATATATGTATATATATATATATATATGTATGTATGCATGTAAACATGTATATTACATTAAACATTTATATTACATTAACGATTATTCATTTTAAAAGCCAAATATATGTCAAGTTTTTAAAATGCTATTGGCTAATGTTACACATTATAAACTTATAAACATATGTCTAATTCTTACATATAGATATTTTTTTATTGTTTGAAAGCGGTCTAAAAAAAAATAAAAAAACTAACCTAATAAAACACATAAAATGCTAGAAACCATTATGATCTTTTGAAAATATTTCAAAAAATAATTTAATAATAAAATTGATCAGTATAAGTTTAACATATTTGCATTGGACTAACCTAACCTATTGGACCAACCTATCCCATTTTATGAGTAGATTATAAAGGTTTGCTTCTTAAACCATTAATTGATACCATGTAAAATTATATACTAATATGATTCTTAGAATATAAGCTTTAAACTTGATACTTACGTAATGCAGTATTATCAAACAGCAGAGGCCATAAACATGCTAAAGACACTGTTCAAAATTAACTTTAATGTATCAAAAATATTTAAAAAGGCTCCAAACTTCCAAATATGATCCGATTTCTTTTTGAAAAGAAGATTGAACTACTACTAACCTTAACCTATATTCCCAACACAATAAAATGCATGGTCATATGACCAATAGTCATAGTAATATGGCCAACCTGCTCCTGTCAACTCTCAATTTATTTCTAGAAATTCAAAAAATAACATTCATAAACATAAAAAAAAAAAAAAAATGATTTAAGAACTTTATGTGGCGATTGAGGCAACAAGAGAGTTACAATATTCAGGCACATAATATGACACCACACTTTCATTATGACTTTTTTCAGATCTGCTATTGAAGTTAGATTCTGTTTTCAATTTTACTTAACAGTTTTAGATGCGGTTTAAACCGGGTGAATTTCCCATGGGGAAAAAATATTAACAAGATATTCTTGGAGCCATGCCTTGACAATTTTGCTTCATGGATAGTTTCTCTTTGTGTAAGAAAATATCAAACCTTCTAAATTGAAACTAGCTAGACATATTATTTTTAAAAATTTCTAAATAATTTGCAAAATTGACCATCTCACCTTGTTGTAAAAGGTGTAAACTAGCAAAATTATCGGCAGCGATTATGCCTAAAATTATAATTGCTGTACATTGGTTGACAGAAGATGCAACAAATTGGGGGTTGAAGAGTAAGTTTACTGGCTGGCAAATTTTGACTTTGTGTGCTGCAAACTACTTAACTTGTGCTTCCACTGAGGGCATGACATGTTGCCACATTTAAACAGTAAAATCCATGTGTTTTTTCAAATTTGAGACAACCACAAATATAAATATATATATATGTATATATATATATATATATATATATATATATATATATATATATATATATATATATATATATATATATATATATAACAAAAAATAATGAAACAAAAGAATGCTGTCCCAGCCCTAACAGTACATGCCCATTAAACAACCAATGTCTATCAAAAAATGTAGTATATAAAGCCACTTTAGCATCAACTAATCCCTGTCTTATGGAAAAATCTTACATCGGTATTAGTGAAAACGCATTCAAGTTCATCTTTACGAACCACCTTAAATCCTTTAATGCAACCAGGTATAGAAATGATACAAAACTTTTCAAGGAAGTCTGGAAACATAAGGACGCAGATAACATGCCTATAATTAAGTGGAACATAATTAAAAGATGCCAATCTTATAACTCATCTACAAAAAAGTGTAACTTTTGTATCAATAAAAAATATGTTATTATGACTTTTGATAGTTGATTACTACTTAACAAAAAAAGTAAATTGGTTTCGGCTTATAGGAATAGGAAAAATTTTTTATTAACTTTGATTCTGGTAATTAGTGACATTGGATCACGTATACTTGACAGATGCTGTTGCAATGCTAAACTTGTATTTTTTATAACGGTTTTTATTTTATATTTGAACAACGTGGCTGATGATTGCCAAATGGCATGAAACTTTAAGTTCCATTATCAAGTTGCATTTTTTTCATTTAAATTATTTTAATATATATATATATATATATATATATATATATATATATATATATATATATATATATATATATATATATATATATATATATATATATATATATATATTGTAGAAAGTAAAACTACATGATTTTCACAACTTGAAATTTCATGCTATTGCAATCATCAGGTGAAATACAAATATAATTTTTTAGTGAAAAAAGTATATATGAATGGAACGAGTTCGTAAAACTATACAGAAAAAAACTATTATTACAAGTGTGTGTATCTAATCTTAAGGTTTGTAGTTGCTTAATAGAAATTTATTTTTGTGACAACATTTGCAAATCAACTCTGTTTTTTTATTAAGTAGCTCTTCAGCATTTTTATCAAGTTTTTCATATAAACTATTTAGTTTTTCATCTAAACAAAGTAAACCTTTTTTTGTTGTGTTGTTGTAAGCAGGGGCTCTTTTTAGGATAGACCAAGTTAAATCTGGTGTTTCTTTGAGTTTTTCCTTGTTTCCCATATATATTTTGAGAGAGTGGTTACATTTGAAAATAATTGCTTGTGGTTTGCATATCTTTTTTTTCTACATGCTCTCTGATAAACCAATGTATGCTTTGCTGGGTGTGTTTGGGGAAGATGTTATACATTTTTAAATTATGTTTGTTGCTCTACAATATTTATTCAGTGGCAGATTTCTTTGGTTTGCAATTGCAAGGGAAATTTTCAGCCGTGTTGTTTGAATTTATTTTTTGTTGTTGTAACTTTCTATGATTTTTGAAATGTTGTATGAGTAGCTGTAGATAACTTTTGTGGTGTTTTGATTGAATAGCTTATGGAATGGGTTTGAAAGTGGGAAATACTAATCTGTTAATTGCAAAAAAATCTGGCCAACATTCGTAGAGACGCTTTTATTGTAGGGTGAATTAAACCAAATTGTATTCCTCTTGCTTTTGAGGGGTGTCTTGTCTTTTAGTTTGGACTTTAAGTTAAATCTTTTAAAACGGTTTTGTTTAAGTGCTTAAGTATAGTTTTGTTTAAGTGTTTAAGTAAAGTTTTTTAAACGGTTTTGTTAAGTTCTTTGTATTCTGTTTTTAATGAGTTTTTTTCAACAAAAGCATTTTTTTCAAAAGAATTTCATTAAAAGAATTTTGCGATAGTTGATCATTAATGGATAGAGGGATCTGCTTAAGGACTTGAGGCGGATGGTTTGATTTAGTGTGAATGTAGAGTAGTTGGTCATTTTGTTTTTTAAAGGGTTGGCTTGAGTTTTTTTGAAGATTAAAAGTTGTCAAAAAAATTAGCGCTGTTTAGATTGAACTTTTATTTGGAATCCAATGATTTACAAAAAACTAATAATTTCATTTGATAAAAATGCTGAAGAGCTACTTAATAAAAATACTGAGTTAATTTCCATATGTCGTTACAAAAATAAATTTCTATTAAGCAACCACAAACCTGAAGTGTACAAGCGCGTGTATCTAATACACGTGCTTGTAAGTTATAACAAGTTATAACAATAATTTTTCTATATAGTTTTACGTAACTAGTTCCAATTGTATATACTTTTTTAACAATAAAAATATATTTGCATTTCACCTGATGATTGCAATAGCATAAAACTTAAAGTTGTGAAAATCAATGTAATTTTATTTTCTACTATATTATAGCTCTGACTGAGTTCATCGAGCACTAGTAGTATATGCACAAAACAGCATCATATAAATTTATATATATATACAATGTTAAAAAAAAAGAGCATGTAAAAAAAGAGTAATGGTACCTTAAGTTTCATGCCATTTTCAGCAATCATAAGCCATATAATTAAATCAAGAAGTGTACTATCATGTACACATGTGTACTGGAGCCCTATCTTTCTGGAAGTATTATTTGCTTCTATCATACAATTGCATAATCATATTAATATCATCAAATGTGATATTTGTGTGTTTTTGTAGGTATATTGGTTGATTCTAGAAACAATCTTGAGCATAGATTTATTTCACAAATAATTTTACTGTTTTACGATCCTAAAATTTGACTCATCGCACCAAATAACTCTTACCCAATTTTCTAACTCAAACAGCATTTGCACCATTTCCATCTTTTACATTTTTTGAACCATGGTTGACAGGTTAGATATTTTATTGCTATTTAAGATCCAGTATCTTTTTCTGCTAAAATATTTTCAACAAGTTCTCAACTTTAGATTTTAGTTAAAAAAGGACTAAGATTTTATGAATATACTATCTTTGTCACAGCCAATAAGTCTAAACTGTTTTCCAAAACAAGGCATATCAAAAACATGATTTTTTATCTCCCAGGTTTTTACTGTTTTTTGCACAAAAACCTTAAAACACTGGCATGTTTACTGATTTCAATGTAGCTACGATTCTTTAAACTTGATGTTTTCAGCCCATTTGTAGGCAAATTAAAATAGAAATGTTTCAAGTTAACATTTGTAATGTTAAAACTATTTTTTAAATTAATATCATTTTATTATTATTGCTAATTATTTATGATATTAATATCACAAATATCATTTTATTATTATTATTGCTAATTATTTGTGATATTAATATCGCAAATAGTAAAATAATTATTTGTCATTAAGTCTCAAAAATGTATAACTAATGTATAATAAAATGTTTATGTCATTGATAAAATGAATCAAAATTAGTTTCAATTAGTTTAACAGAAGTTAAGTAGTGTGTTTGAACATGCTTTTTATTATTATTTTTTTAACGCAAATATAAATAGCAAAAAACTAAGTAAATAACAAATCTACTTTTGTTAAGTTTTGGTATGAAAAGAACCAATATTTTGTTTTTATAAAATATTTGAAAACCTTGATAAAACTTTAGCCCAAAGCTATATACCAGTATTTAATGAAAGTTATCAAACCTTTTTTTCTTACTAAAAATATTTCCTAAAAATGCTGAACAAATAATAAAAATAATTTCTTATATTAAATAGCTTTATTTCACTCACTTTGTAACACATTTATAAGGAAAAATAAAATTACACTATGTGAACACCTCTTTATATTTTCTAAATAATTGACTGTAAATTTCCTAAGTACTTCAAAAATAATTTCAAAAACATATTAGCCAGAAAAAGTTATCAATTTTCTATACTAACGTTCTATAAAAAAACCTTTTTCACATCTAAAGAAGAGCTTTCTGACCTTATTTTTAAATATAAAAACATCGAAAATATATCTCTCTTAAGCAAATATATTTTTAGCACTTGTTTAAAGATATTATAGTATATAAAAATTAATGCAGTACCTCTTTTGGATCTTTTCCTAAAAGATTATTAATCTTTTCATGCTTCAAGGATGTAAGATTCAGAGATGCAAAATGATTGTGAACAAAAATTGACTTATAACAAGTTTCTAAAACCACTAATACATTTTCAAGAAATGAAGCACTGTTTGAAAAGTCTAAAAGAAAAAAAAATTTAATATTTTTTTAAACTTATATCTCTTCAAAGAAATAATATTACTTACACTCTTGTTTTGTATAATATCGATGTTGATCATGGTTATCAAATGAAGCTATAACTAAATCACATGTTTCTAATTTATCAACTAAAAGTTCACTAACAACTGCACGCAAATGAGAGACCTATAATTAACAAGAGTTATATAGACAAGGTAACTAATAACATGATCAAATTATATGCAATAAACAAGATTTTTTAACCAAAAATCTTTTTATAATAGGTTATTTTTAAAGTACTTACTTGAACTATTGTAATTGGATTTAACAAGGAACCACAAATATCCCATTTGTGCTCACTGATCAATAAATCAATGCATCGATATAAATATTCTGCAGAACATTTTTTCATGTCATAGATGTCAGCTACCTTTCAATTAAAATAATTGTATTTATGAACAATATAAAAAATAGTACAGTAGATGAATATGTATGTATATATATATATATATATATATATATATATATATATATATATATATATATATATATATATATATATATATATATATATATATATATATATATATATATATTTATTTGACTTTAAATCAAATAAAAAAAAAAATAAACTGCAAATAAATTTTTTTTCAAAGTTATAACAAAATATGGCAGCAATAAGTTCTTTGACACAAATCTTTTGTGGATTACCTGCAGCTACCATGTTTTTTTAGACAGAAACAAAAGTGACTGATGTGATAGTGATAACAGTGACGCAATGATAGTGATGGTGATGATTAAATAACAGTGAGGTAATGATAGTGATGGTGATGATGGTGGCAATGAGAGAAAGCTAATTAAAAAATAAATATACACTAAAAAAAAAGGTGAGTGGGGAGTGTAGAACAAAATAGCTTTATCTCTTAGAATTATTTAAAATAATATTTGTACAGACTCAAATAGTCAACTTTCCAACTCGCTTTCCAGACAACCCAAATCATTTACCTTCTCTACTCGACTTATGTCTTGTTTCTGATCCTAGTCAGTGTTCAGTTTCTCCACACTCACCCTTAGGTGCTTCTGATCATGGTTTGATCTCTCTAAAACTAATATCTCATTCTTCTTTACCATCAGAATCCCCCTATCATCGTATATCTTACAACTACCTTAAAGCTGACGGGGACTCTTTCTGTGATTTTCTTCGTGATGGCCTCTGGGTAGAAATCTTTTTGTCTTGTCTTCCTGTTGACAAATGTCTTAATAACTTCATGGATTCAGGCTGGTATGGAATCCTTTATTCCTTCTCAACGATTCCAGGTCAAGCCTCACTCTTCTCCATGGTTTTCCTCACATTGTGCTGCTGCAATTGCCAATCGAAACCATTACTTCCATATCTATCAGCAAAACAATTCTCCAGAAACAAACGTCTGTTTATTACTGCTAGGAACCATTGTAAAAAGGTTTTATCTAATGCCAAAGCCCGCTATTCTCAGACCATGAAATCTCGTATTTCATCACAAAAATTAGACTCTCGTGACTTCTGGAGAATCTTTAATAGTATCAATAATAAGGGCAAGTCTGTAATTCCACCTCTTTTGTATGGTTCAGACTTTGTCACCTCACCTAAAAACAAAGCTGAATTGCTTGCCAAGAACTTTTCATTAATATCATCTCTTGATTCCACTAGTTGTGTTCTACCTTATATAGCCGTCAAACAGGTTGATCCATTGCTCGACATCCATATCACTCCAGCTTCTGTATCTGAAGTGATTTCCTGCTTAGACTCTTCTACAGCTTGCGGCCCAGACAACATACCTGTTATAGTCTTGCAGAAGTGTTCTCCAAAGCTGTCGCCTATCCTTTCAAAACTATTTAACAAGTGCTTATCAGAGTCTTGTTTTCCAGCCTGCTGGAGAGCAGCATCTGTTATCCCTATTTTTAAAAATTCTTTAGAGCAATCCGATTCGTCTAACTACCCCCCCATTTGTCTTCTTCCTATCATAAGCAAGGTTTTTGAATCTTTAATTAACAAACATTTAATCTCTCATCTCAAATCTCATAAACTACTTTCTGATCATCAATATGGATTTCGATCCTCTCGTTCTACGGCTGATTTACTATCAGTAATAACCAATAGGTTTTATCGTGCATTAGATAAAGGTGGAGAGGTTAAGGCCATCGCTCTTGACATTTCTAAAGCGTTTGATAAAGTTTTGCATGCTGGTCTTCTCCATAAGCTTTCTTCTTACGGTGTATCTGGAAACACCTTTAAGATTATTGAATCGTTCCTTTCCAATCGTAGTATAAAAGTTGTCCTTGATGGACAGCACTCTTCTACTTATTCTGTAACCTCAGGGGTTCCTCAAGGTTCAATCCTTGGCCCTATACTTTTTTAAATTTACATTAACGATCTTCCAGATATTCTCTTATCTAAAGTGGCATTGTTTGCTGATGATACCATTTATTCTTGTCACGATAAGAAGCCAACTCCCGCTGATTGCTTGCAAGGGGCATCTGAGCTTGAAAAGGATCTCGCTTATGCTACAGCATGGGGCTCACAGTGGCTGGTGAACTTTAATTCAGATAAAACTCAATTTTTTTCAGCCAATCGTTATCGCAATAATTTAGACCTTCCTATATTTATGAACGGTAATGTACTCGATGAGTCTCCTACCCTTCATCTTCTAGGATTAACTCTTACTTCTGATCTTTCTTGGAAACCTTATATCAAATCCGTTGCAAAATTAGCATCTGCTAAAGTTGCTTTTCTTTATCGAGCTCATCACTTTCTTACTCTGGACTCTATTCTCTATCTCTATAAATCTCAAATCCGGCCTTGTATGGAATACTGTTGCCATATCTGGGGCAGATCTTCTAATGATGCCCTTTCTCTTTTAGACAAGGTGCAAAAACGCATTGTAAACATAGTTGGACCTGCTCTTGCAGCCAACCTTCAACTTCTGTCACATCGTCGTAATGTTGCTTCTCTTTCTCTTATATACAAATACTATAATGGGCACTGCTCTAAAGAGCTAGCGTCTCTTGTGCCATCTACTAAAACTCATTCTCGTGTTACTCGTCATTCAATCAAGTCTCATCCTTTTTCTGTTACTGTTCCTAAGTGCTCCAAAAACTCTTATTTGTCTAGTTTTTTTTCTCGAACATCAGTTTCTTGGAATTTGTTTCCTTCATCTTGCTTTCCTGATTCATATAATTTGCAATCTTTTAAATCGTCTGTCAATCGTTATCTTGCTCTACAACCTTCATCTTTTCTCTTCCAGTAACTTCCAACACTAATTAGTGGTTGCTTGCAGCCTTGTTGGAGGCGATGCTTAAAAAAATAATAATAATAATAATAACACGCCTCCTTACTTTATCCCTTGTGTTATCCCAACAAATATTTAGCCATATCATGAAATTAAAGCTGTAAATATTTTATTTACAACAAAATAGTTATATTTTAGTCTTTAAAAAGATTTCAATCACCAAATACTTGTGTACAACTTATAAGAAAGATGTTAAGCACCAAATACTTGTGTATGACCTATAAGAAAGATATTAAGCACCAAATAATTGTGTATGATCTATAAGAAAGATGCTAAGCACCAAATACTTGTGTATGACCTATAAGAAAGATGTTAAGCACCAAATACTTATGTATGACCTATAAAAAAGATGTTAAGCACTGTTGACTGTTGAAAAATTAGATAATAAATGTACAATATTAAAAAGAAAAAATGACAAAAAAAAAAAAAATTAGCATGATGCAGTAATAATACTTTTCATAATTTATGAAGTTTAGTTCTTAATTAGAGTTCTTTTGACATTAGCAAAATCAGTTGTTAATTGAATCCTTAAGTGCAGAGACAATTTATTTTCATATCTTACATAATCTTAATAAGTTTAAAATTAATCAAAATCCTAAAAACAAATTATTTATAATATAATTAACAAATTATTTATAATTATTTATTGATATAAAAAGCAAAATCAGACTCAAAACTGCTGCATAAATTACATTGAAAGTAAACAATCACCAAAACTGCTGCATAATTACATTGAAAGTAAACAATCACCAAAACTGCTGCATAATTACATTGAAAGTAAACAATCACCAAAACTGCTGCATAATTACATTGAAAGTAAACAATCACCAAAACTGCTGCATAATTATATTGAAAGTAAACAATCACCAAAAGCAGATTTTTGATACTTTGAATGAATATTTTTAATCAGCATTTTTAGAAGATAACAAAAATGTTTTACCAAACTTTGAAAAAAAGTGTTTAAATTCATTACAATTTATTAGTATTACCTCAACTGGGGTTATTAATATGATAAATACTTAAAATCTAAGAAAATTAGTTGGACCAGATAGAATTCATCCTTTTGTATTAGAAGAATGTGTAAATGCTTTTTCTAATCCATTACTTTATTATTTAACAAATCAATTTACAAAGGTCTAGTACCTATTTCATGGAAGTCAGCAAACATAATGCCATTGTTTAAAAATGGCAGTAGAAATAAGGTTTCAAATTATAGGCCAGTTTCTTTGACTTCAATTCTTTGTAAAACTTTAGAACATTTAACATCTAACCAACTCTTCCATTATTTAAAAGCTAACAATTTATTATTTTCTAATCAGCATGGTTTTACAAAAGGTAAAAGTTACACAGAGTACATGGATACAGTAACAACAGGTGTTGTTACTTGTCATTTGATATTCTTTATACTGATTTCAAAAAAGCTTTTCACAAAGTTTCACACAGGAAATTAACACTAAAACTTGAAGCATATAGCATTATATCAATGTCACTGAAGTGAATAATTTCTTTTTTAACTGATAGGAAGCCAAGAGTTCTACTTGGAAAAAGTGAATCGTCACGGGTGGACATAGTAAGTGGTGTACCACAAGGATCTGTGCTTGTTCCAATTTTAATTTTAATATACATCAATGATCTTCCAAGTCAACTTACAAACCAATTGTTGTTGTATGCAGATGATTGTAAAGTAATAGCTGAAGTTAACAATGAAACGGATGCAGATGCTTTACAAAATGACATTGCTATATTAGAAAAATAGGTAATAAACTGGAAAATGCAATTCAATTGAAAAATGTAAAATCATGCATATTGGTAACAAAAATAAACATTATAAATATTTCATGACAAACAATAATATAAAGCAAGAATTAATTGCTACTAAATTGGAAAAGAATCTAGGCATATTAATTTCAAATGACTTAAAATGGGAACCACAAATCAATATTGCATCATCTATTGCAATCTATAAATTTGGTCTAATATGCAAATCATTTAAGTATAAAGATATTGAACTAATAAAATTGCTGTATTGTAGTTATATACAGCCACATTTAGAATTTGCAATACAGGTATGTATTATAAGTCCTTATCTTAAAAAAGATATAAATATATTAGAAAATATTCAAAAATGAGTAACAAAATCTGTACCTAAGCTACGCCATCATACCATAAAAGACTAGAAAAAATGAAGTTAACATCTTCAACAACAAAGAATACAAGGAGATTCAAATGTACAAATGGTATTATGATATCAAGAAAATAACTTGGAATAATGGTATTATGATATCAACCTATGAGGAACCCCCTCATTGTTCTTGCTCTTTAAATTTTTCAGGTCTTCAAACATTCAAAGTAACAAACATCATACAATCACCGATAAGAAATATTTAAATTGAAACGTGGGGTTTTTTTTACAAATCGCACAGTAAAATTCTGGAACAAATTACCAAATGAAACAGTGGAAGTTAAAAATCTCAACTTATTCAAAGCTAAACTAGATTTAATCAAGTATATTTAACTTTCTTGTTTTGTCTGTAAAAGATTGAACATGGCATTGAATCTCAACAGTACTTCTTCTTACATATTGATAAGTTAGCAAATAAATTCATCACTTTTAACGCCATATTGTTTTTTGTGAAGGAAACTTTAGGTTTGTTAATTTTTTCTTTTAAAAACATGTGATCAATCAATTGCCAATAAAAATCAATTGCCAATAAAAACACGTAATGTTGTAAAAGTTAATTTATATTAAATTTTTTTAATATGTTAAGTAACAGCAGCAACAACAAAAAATTCTTTTTTAAAGAAATTTTAAAGAACTTTTAAAGAACTTGCTAAAAAGAAAAAAAAATTAATTATAGTAAATAATAAAATATAATTTTTTCAAGACTGAGTTTTAAGATTAAAAAAAACGATTTGTTGTAAAAAGTATAATTAAGTAAATGCTATTTCGAAAAACTCTTTAGCAAAACCATTGATTCTTTTCTACTCTGTTCTTAAAAAGGAGGATGTTAACCTTATAAATAAAATTCTATAAAATTTATTTTATTCATATAAAAATCATAAGATCACTAATCATTAAAAAGCTTACTTATTTTATTTAAAAAACATAACTAAATTTAAAATTTCAATTAGATTTAAGGGAAGGATAATTGCAACATGATAATAGTGGCGCACAAGATAGCGGCCAATCAACGATCAATGATCGGCTATTTTTAGGGAAATTTTAAAAAATTCATCGGAAAATAACCTGTTTTTGTAAAAATAATTACATTTGATCGGCAAGCTTTGAAAAACTATTTTGAGCGCTGTAATAGCAATACCAAAATATATCTGAAAAAACCATATTGCTCTTTTCACCCTCATCATAAAATATATCAAAATTGTCATCTCGCATTGTCGTGAAATTTAAAAGCATAATAAGTATAAGTATCTTCAATTTGATTTCTTCAAGATAAAATATTGGAAACAAAACAATGTAGTATAAAAATGGCTGTGAATGTATTTATTATTATAATTGTTATATTTACATGGACAATAGTTTTTAACTACTTTGTACTATGAGAAAAATTATAATTTCACCTGTTTTATAATAGATTTTATTTTTATTTTTATGTTAATATTTTGTAGCCTTAGCAGCAATAACAGCTGCAAAATAACGTGACATTGACTCAGTTATTCCTCTGAAAGTAGGTGGAACTTTATCATATACTTTATTCAAAGATTTGAATTAAATGGCTTTATTTGAACATGTATGCTTTCAAACTGCACAATCTGTAATTGACCGTTTTTTATTGGGTTCAAGTCTAGTGATTAAGATGGCCAGCTTAAAACTCTTAAATTTGAAGCAGAAAACAAGTGTTTTATCAACTTAAATGTGTTTCGAGTTGAAAAATTGAATTTTGCTGTATTGTTTCTTCAGGATATGATTTCTAAAATGTCCTTGTAAATAAAAGTATTCTTATTTCATCTCAATCAATGAACTGACTCCTTGTAAAGAGAAAAATTTCCTAAACCATCACACTTCTTCCACAATGGTTTAAAGTAGAAACTCAACTTTATTTTTGTCTTGACAAAAAGTCTTCTCTTTTCGATTGTTTAGAACAGACAGCCAATCTTGAACCTCATTTCTGTAACAGATTGGGGATCGCAGTGGCTTGTAAATTATAACTCCAACAAAACTCAGTTATTTACTGCAAGCAACTATTGCAATACTGTCAACATTCCTATATTATTGATTGGAAACCATGTCCTTACTATTTAACACTATTCTTTCATTCTAGTAACTTCCAACTTAATAGTGGTTGCTTGCAGCCTTGTTGGGAGTGAATCATCATCATCATAATAATAATAATAATAATAATAATAAAAGAAAATACATAAATAAGATTCTTTTACTACATTGTTTCCTATATCTCATAGTAAAATCTCATAATATATTTTATTTTACTATATTATTTTGTTTCCTATACCTTATACTAACATCTCATAACAATATTCTTTTACTATATTATTTTGTTTCCGATATCTCATACTAACATCTCATAATAATAATAATAAAAAAATTGCCCTTTTTTAAAAATGAATTTTTAAAAACAAAATGTTACTGGTCAGAAACTTTTTTACACCAATGTTTACTTATATCAAATCAAGATGCTTTACAAAAAATAGCTATGATTAGAGCCTGGAAACAAAAAAACTTTTACATATATGTCCCCCTTAACACAAATTTGAAAGCAATGAGTTGATGAAATGTTTTTTATCAACAAACTTCAAATTCTATTCATTAATTTTTTAGACTTTAAAAACTATGATCATATTTTAAAATCCTATAAATTGAGGTGGGTTTACAAACTTTTTGCAGTCATGCTTTTACATGGCATACATCAAATAATGATATCAACACTACTGTTATAAATTTTTCATGATTTTCAACCACAATTGCCTAAGGCTATTATTTGAACTTTCATTAAAAAAAAAAAAAATAGCTCGAGTGTAAGGGTATTTTTATTTAACAGCAATGTTTTTATTTAAGAGATATTTTTATTTAATCGATATTACATTAAACTGAAATATTAACTTCTGGACTGTGAAAAATAACCATAAAAAAGTATGAACCCATAAGAAATCTAGACCAAACTCAAAAATTCTGAACAAATATTTGAAATTTCAATATTAGCAACTGATATTCAAAAAACTATTGTATTAATTATTACCTTAATAGCAGTCAGCAGACTAGATGAATCACCTTTCTTTGCCAACACTGTAATTGCTTCATTGATTTTTCCAGCAGCCAAAAAGCTACAAGTAAAATTAAGAATAAAATAAAATGGTGAGGTAAAATATATAATAAACACATAATAAAACATACCATTCTGCAGCATTCTCATTGTTATTTTCCTCTATAAGTTTTTGCGCCCACAGCAAATAAAGTTCCTGAATTAAGGGATTGTTTTTTGATAGTCGCACTTTCGCTAAAGCTACAGCTTCTCTAAACAAAAATAGAATTCTTAAAAAAATTTAATTTATCTATTAAAACAAAAAAAATGCATAAAAACAAAACTTGCTTAAATAAGCCATTATCTTTAAAAACGTTAATAGCTTTTTGTGTTTCACCAACTGCTAAGAAATAAAGTGCAGCAGAATTAAAATTGCGTTTCTTCTCCAGCTGTTCTGCATATGCTAAAACACAAGCTCTCCACAAGTCAAAACCACCTGTAATTTTTAGGAATCCTTTATTTAAAGTTGATATTAAAAAATTATGTATTTATTGCAACTTATTATTTCAAAAAATTATATACTTTAATAATATTTAAACATTGAATATATACCTAAGGGGCTCAGTGCTACAATGACATCATTTAAACTGTTATTTTGAGCTGCATCATTAATTAGACCAGAGATGTTATTCCTCCATGTTTCTAGCTGAATAAGTTGTTCTATTGAGTTATTTTTTTTATGACCCTCACCTGAAGAAAAATCTTTAATTAAAATATAAAATAAATAATAACATAACATAGTATAAAAGATGTAAAAACTATATAAATAATAAGTGTAATGATTTGTATAGTCAATTGTATTGTTATTGTTTTAAAATGCATCAGTTTCTTTGTATTTTGGTTTTGTTAGCAGTTTACATTGCATTATTTTCTTTGATAATTAATTTCCTTTTCCATTGCATCATTTTCACACACACACACACACACACACACATATATATATATATATATATATATATATATATATATATATATATATATATATATATATATATTTGTCGTCAACATATAAGGTCTTTTTTTTTCCGATACTTTTTTAATGATACTACATTTAGTAATATAAACTAAAAAACATTTATATTTAAGGCATAAACACAAGGCTATTTTTTTTTCAGCATGGAATCCAATTTCATCAGATGACTTTTTTAAATTCTCAATTATAGATAATGTCTGTCGAAATTTCAGTATTGACAATTTCAATATCTTCTATAATTGTTTTTTTTGCTTCTTTTGTAATTTCAACTTCATGAGCCATAAACCCATGAAATTTGAGGTAACCTTGGGTTGAATGTAAAGAGATGATAGTGTCTGGGGACATATTGTCATCGATCAGACTTTTATTGCTGCTAAATCCTCATTCAACTTGAGCGTGTCCATGCAATAAAATAAGGACAATTTTGAAAATGTGCTGTAAATTTGCATACATCGCTAAATCAGTGTATTTCCAAAAAAAGTAGTCCAAACAATCCTTATCTTTATCAAAAGTCAAAAATACTTCTTTGTTATCAACGACTACACTTTTACAGAACCTGGAATATTCTTTCTTAGCTAAACCACCAACAGAAGCTCTAATTTTCTGGTAAGTAACAAGCTTCATCAACAGTTTGTCAAAAAAATAAACACACTTTTATGGATAATCACCCATAAATGATGGGGAAATACATACCAGACAGCGAGCAACCAGTGAAGACAAAGGGCTTTTCTCAATATGAGTACACAATGAGACAAGAAAATCACATATTTTCTTTTTGAACTAGTCAATTTGAAAATCAGTAATTTTTCCCTTACTCTTAAGTTTTTAACAAAGACGTTGTAGTTTTGGCATTTAAAAGAACATCTAATCAAATGAACTTTGCATTAAAGTTGCGTAGTAGTTCCTTAAGTGTCACCACCAGAAAAGGAGTCATTGGTTTATCAGTTTGAAAAAAAACTAAAAGAAAAAAAAATAGCAAGATTGAAAATAACTTTTTGTGATTTTGTCGCAAAATTTTAAAAATAATATGAAAAGATCTCAGAATATTTTTACACTTTTGTAATAAAACAAAATATATTACATAAAGAGCAATAAAATTGTATTTGAATCAAATATTACATACCAAGAAATGTATTTAGACTGCCACTAACCTTTTCAAAAAACTTCAACTTTAAAAGAACTAAAACTTCATTTGTTTGAGCACTTAAATGTTCAAAGCTGGTGTTTTGTCCTAATTTACAAAATCCAGGTTGCTTACTCTTTGGTAACTTCCAGTAATCAACAACTAATACTACTTTTGACCAAACCTCATTGCATTATTGGCAACACTTTGATTTTCAGCCCATCGAGTACCACAAAACATGTAAGGAAAATCTGAAATTGTTGCCTCAGCTATTCTTTCATAATCACTTGCTCTTGATAGACTTTCATGAAATATTTGGTACATTGAAGACATTAACTTCTTTAAGTTCCAATCAGTAGCTTTAGCACCAGTTTGTAAGGATCCATTGATAGTATGTAAACCACAGGTACCAATATCAACGAGTGTACTTAATTCATTGTTATGACGTTTTTTGTTGAGCATTTCCAAAAACAGTTTATTTACATTAGGGCCATCCATAGAAACCTGAAGCATTTTTTCAGCACTTAAACCAGTCATGTAGGATTTAAAAATTTTTAGAATATCTGGGGCTGCAGCTTTTCTCATAAACTCTGAAGTATAATACTCTGAAGTATATCTTGTACAAACAGTATTACTTGCTTCATTCCAATATCGCACATGTAAGTCCATTTGACCTTTTTTTTACAACTTTATTGTAAGACTCAAAACGACAAACTTTTCCAGCAGGTTAAGATCTTTTATAAGAATTTTTTTAAATATGGGGTAAGACCACGAGTTACAATATAGCCAGATTTTGTTCGACTACAGGAAAAGTTGCTGGCAATTTAGCTATCTGGAAACATTGAATCAAATTGTTTAGACTTATTCTTGCTAGATCTAAAAGAGTATTTGCTTTGAACAATATCTAAACACCAAATTCTGCTTTCAAAACTGCTTCCTTTTGAAGTATATCTGAAATAATACACTGTTTTGATGAGGTAGGCTTTTGTAGTACTGATTGCAAAGTTTCATTGAAAAAAACAACATAACCCTCTTTAGGCAATCGCTCTATGTGCTTTGCTCCTCTCGCATGTACATCAAAGATTTAGTTGTACACTAATCATGACACTTTGTAAAAATAGTCATCTGAGGTGGTATTCAAGTATTGAGGAGATTTATTAATGCAAAAAATCCCACATATTTTAATTGTTTTTTATTTTTTCATTATCTATTCTACTGTGAATTTTAATCTACTTTTTCACACAACAAAGAAAAGACAAAAAAAAATTGTTAATGTATCAAAAATGTAATTTAACTTTTTTTTTTACTTTAAAGGACATTTTAGTTTAATGAGTAAAAAATGAAATTAAAAATTTGAAAAAAAAAACAGTTTTTTTAATAAAAGCCTGTCGAAACCAAAACTCTTAGTCTGTGTAAGTACATTCTGCTGTGCTTATTGTTAACTAGTGTATTGAAAAAACTGTTCTATTAGGGATAAATGTGCTTATCCTTAAATGATTTAGACAGTTACAGTACACTTTGCTATGTTTGGAAAAAAAATAAAAAAATGAAAAGAATAAAAAATTAAAATAAAAAAGGCATATTTAAGAGTTAAATGATCTATTTAAACTCTTTTCTAAAGTTTAGTAGTCTAAATTTTTATACTATTTATTTATTTATTAAAAGCAAATTTTACTAGATTAAAAAGAAATCTCTATGCAATAATGCTTTTTTTGAAATTAAGATTGACGCAAAATATTTGGACATATTTTTTCACATTCTAATTGACAGCCACAGTAATTATTAAATTATTAACTAAGTAGAAATATTTAAAAAAAGTTGACAAAAACAGAATTATACATTCAGTTTGAAGCAACTTGTAAGCATCTTTTCTTGTACTATATAGTCCCAGATTTGGATGCTCCTCAGAACCAGGAGTAATGTTGCAGACAAGTACTCCTGTATCTTCTTCTTCATTTTCAGCTAAATAAAAAATAAGGGTTAGAAGTAAGTACTTGACAATATATATATATATATATATATATATATATATATATATATATATATATATATATATATATATATATATATATATATATATATATATATATATATATATATTTAAAAATAACATAATATTTTATATTCTTGACATGTTTCATAATATAATTATTACATTTTCAAAAAATTTAATTTTACAAAAAAATAATGGAATTAATATTAAATATAGAAAAACTTACGAAGAAACATCAAGGGTCAAAAAATATACATAATAAAACAATAAAAATGATTACAAAAATAACTTAATAAGTAACCAATCAATATAATCAAAATGAAATTTAGCAGGCACTTAATTTATTATTAACTAGTTCGACACAGAAGAAAAATAGCAACTTTTTAAAGACTCTTACAAAAGCATAAATATCTTTAAAAGATCCTAAGTATATAATACTATACATTATTGAAAAGCTTATAAAGTTTTGAACAAATCTATTTGAAATCTTTTTTTTTCCATAAAAGTGTTAAAATTCATAGTGGAGGAATTATATAGACCCTATACATACATAGGTTATGTATGTATAGGGTCTATTAAGAAATAGACCCTAATATATACGCAATCAAAATACAAAAATATTTTTGATGAAAACATTCATTATGGCCTGACATGTGGTTTATTGTTAAGGGGTATATTAGCAATAAAGGTGAAAAATATTATAATAATGTATAATATATAAAACACTAAAAATGATAAAACTATAAAAATAAATATAAATTATAAACCATACTTTTTAAATAAATACTTAATTATAATTCTAAAATAAATACTTAATCGTGCTTCTAAAATAAATACTTCTAAAATTAATTATTTTTATGAAAATTTGAGCTAGGCTATATTGAAAGTCAGTTTTTTGCTGCAGTACAGTGTAAGGTGACGTTGCACTGTTCATCACAGTAAGAAAAAACTTTTACTCATCTGCAGTTTCCTTTTTTGCTTCCAAGCTTGAAAAAATTTAACCTTTAAAAAAATGGTATTTTCCGAAGGTTTAAAGTAGCTTGTGTGAAAGGTTGGCAAACTCTTTGAGCCCATTTAAATCCTAAATGAATTTTTTTCGGAAGTCTAAAAGACTTTAATGAGTATTTTCTTTTTAATTTCTTTAATTTTAATTTTTGTATTTTCAACTTATAGAATTTCTGGATAACAAACTGTTATAATTGGTTAATCATTACGTAAAACTTTTTGTTATGAAAATATAGTGGCAAGAAGTCATCGAACACATGTAAACAAAATCCTCAAATACTGTGCCGAAAGAGCTAAACTGCCTGTTTATTTTATTTTGATTATATTGATTAGTTATTTACATAAAGTCATTTTTGTAACCATTTTTATCAGTTTATTATGTATACTTTTTTGTTTTGTAATATTCATCTGTAAAGTTGTTATTTTAATTAAATCTTGTATGGTATCTTGTTTTCTTTTTTTCCATTATGCGTTTATTTTAAGTAAAAAGTGACACTGTTGTGACTAAAGTATTGCGATATCAGTATCGTAGTATCGAAACATGCTAAAATATCGACATTTTGACCGGGTTCGATATTGAATTGTCGATATTGTAATTTTTTTAATAATATCGAAGTTTCGATATTATTTGATATCCTTTCACAGCAATATCGAAAGATTCTCGATATTCAAACTAAAATATCGATACTAATATTCAAACTTTAATAAAAATCAACTGTTATACTCTAAACTGTCCCTCCTAAAATTTCCCAGCTAAACGTTCCCGCCAAACTGAAAAGTAATTAAAAATGCTAAAAATTAAGTGTAAATTAAAAATTGGGTAAAGCTACAGTTAAGCGGCCTAAAATAATTATATTTTTTCGCTTTTTAAAAACACGATGGAGTGTATTTTTAAAGCGAAACTTAATTATGTTATGTAATAATAAATGTTACGGGTTGTGAATTTGAAATTAAAAGATTTAATTAAAAGTTGAAGTTTTATATTAAAGTTGAAGGTAAATAAATAATAATTATAATCAAAGTAAATATAAATTATAATCAAAGTAAATTATAAGTAAATTATAAATACACAATTAATTGAGCTATAATTTTTTTTCCAAATTGCTAAAACATATTTCAAATATTGAAGATAACTTACGGTATTAGACCCTTCAAATTCCTCTAATTAGAAAAAATGGGTCTTGAACACAAAAATAGCATTCTAAAATTCTAGAATCTCGTTTAATATCGTATAATATCGTAAAATATCGAACTGAATATCGATAAGTTCGAAATTCAGTAAAAATATATCCAGTTTCAATATCGAAGTTCGATACTGTGTTTATGTAATATCGTAGTATCGACAATATCGACTTTTATGAATATCGCAATAGCTTAGTTGTGACTAAAATAAACAGATATGGATCTGAAACTGAGATCAGTTTTGATATTTTGATCCAAACCATGGAGCAATATCTAATTACAATATTATATGAATTAATTATAGTTATAGTTACAATATTTAGAGATGTCTCAATTAATTTGGTGACTATTCAGTATTCGAGCTTGGTTACTTTTTTTACTATTCAGTATTTGACCGAATACTGCAAATTATTCGGCTGTGTACCAAATTCTAGATTGTGATGAAGAAAAAACGCTTAAAAATGGATTTCATATAATTATTTTAACTAATAATTAGCATATTTTATACTTAAAATCTATAGGTGGTTATGATAAAACATTTTTATTGTTTGATTATAGGAAATGATTGCAAATTTCTTACTTATATATTTATATACTTTCATAAATTGCCATTCATTACCTTGAGTAAATAAAAATAAAATTTCAGCAAGTTCTGTTTAGATTATGCTTTGCGTTTGCTGATCACAACTTGTGAGGGTTTGCTGTCCAATTTAAGCAAACGGTATCATGTAAAAACTAACATCTTTTGCAATTGAACTTTTTTTCACATCTTTATATGTATTCATATTTTTTTGCAGAGATTGGTTTAACCGTTTTTATTTAGGTCTTTTTTTTCTTACAAAGTGGAGCTGAATCATCACCAGTGCTACTAGTCACTGGTGATGGTTCAGTGTCAAGCAGTCTTTTTTCTGAGAAGGATTAACTTTTTACTGGCTTATTTTTTCTCAGAACACTTAATTTTTTTTTATCTCTCTGCTTTAACTAACTCTTAAAATTAGTTTTGAAGTGTGTATCAATAAAAAAGGCAACCATATAATTGCCATCCCCATAAAGTTAAACCATGTTTTAAGTTCAGATTATTATAAAGAAATCATTTTAAATAAGTTTGAAATTTTTTGTGCTATATCTATCTATAGAAACTTTTGAAATTTCCTTTAGAAATGCAAGAACTGGTTATTTTGTTTTTTGAATGGTTTGAAGAGTATGATGCGTTTATACATAACTACAGTTCAAACAATTTGACATTTTTGTTTCCTTTATGACTAGGCCATGTCACAACAAAGAATGCCGACCTACTCATAAATGAAACAAAAACGCCAACAATCTAGTTAACATATTCACTTCAATGAAGCATGTCGGAACCATCAAAATAACTAAGTGTCGCTGAATATTTGCTACTTCAGCCAAGCGCCTTGCCGAACATTCGGTATTCTGCAAAATCACTATTTCTGAAATCTCTAACAATATTGTAAAATAAAAATGTGATAAAATTTATTTATATATAAGAATTAGCCTAAAAAAGTTTTCGAATGATTAATTAAGATCCTAAAACTTGAATTTTATTTTTTCTTGTTTTTTAAAAATTTAATTTGAAAATTAACAATTAATAAATTAATAAAAATAAGCAACAGAGTACTGGTAAGAAAAAAAAAATTTTTTAATCAAAATTTAAAAAGGGTACAAAAATACCTTTTAAATACTGTGCTAAAGCAATGCAATCAACTTGCATGGCCTCTTTGGCTTTAGAATCAGCAACAGATGACTTTTTCAACAAAGATCGCATTCTTTTCTTTTTATTATCAACATCTGAAAATAAATAGTTCTACTTTTTAACTCAAAGAAAAAAAAAAATATTTTAAACTTTATTATTTGATATTCAGTAGCTATATTTAGTAACTTTATAGTTCACTTAAATTATTCAACATATTTTAATTATTGCTTTATTCTGATATTTTAGATTTTATCAGATAATATCTGGATATTTTTAACAGAATAGGCTCCAGTAATTTACAGCTAATTTTTTAATTTAACTAATTAGAAAATCAACATGGTGCATTTGCAGTAAAAACCAATGATTTATTATATAAACTAAATGTCTAACTTACGGGATTTTATTGGATAAAAAATGAAGCCGCATTTTTTTGTTTACAACAATATTCCGCCATTTGTATAAGGGACAAAAGCTAAGGCCAAAGTGTGGAATAAAAGTTAAAAATGCAAGTTAAAAGCTCCAAATAAATTAAAGATAATTTAAAAAGAAGTTTTAACATTTATAAAATACTTATAAAAGTTTTTTTTATGAGAATATGTTTATTAAAATGTATTTAAATTCATAAAAATGCTTTAAAAGAGTCTGTTGTTTGACTTTTCTATTCAAAACTTTAATCTCTTTTTAAGTCAAAATAAATTAAGGAATCATAAATTATTATTTTACAAGTATTCTAATTTCCGCTCAACACTTTTAAATAAATTAGTATTTAAATTTAAAATATATTTACTTCATTTAAAAAAAGAAAAGTTAATAATATTTGTTTACAAATTTAATCTGCCATTTGTAAAAAAGGCAAAAAGCTGTGTCTTTTTTTGGATTGAAGTTAGGCATCTAGTTATATAATATATCATTGCGTTAAATAAGTAGCCTTGTTTGCATTTGGTATAGACTCAAAATATTTAAACTAAAGCATTAATCATATTTAAAAATATATGTGTATATATAATCAACAATTTAAGTTAAACTTTATATAATTTATGAATAAGATTTTATTGTTATTGTGTTATATATATTATTGTATGTTTCTGACGTTAATTTTGTACTGTCTCAGCATTTCAAAATTCAAAGTTATTTTGGGAGTACCATTTTATGCATAGAATTATTTGTCAATTTTGCTCAGAACTATTTTGTTATATATTTAAGTGTTGCAATTAATCTAGTTTATAATATATCATTAGTAAAAATAGATGATCATCACATTTAAAGTTTATAGTAACCATTGTTAATTATAGTTTATTTTTTATACTATTATTATTATTATTATTATTATAAATATTGTTATTACTATTTATTATAATAAACATTAACATTTGCCTATTACATGTATAACCTGAATCACCTTTACTATATAGTTTGCTTATATGACCACTTCCATTGTCTACAATGTGTGCCTTTCTTCCAAGTGAAAAACTGTAAGGCAAAGAGACAACTGAAAAAATGATCATCTGAAAAATCATTTTGAAAAACAAAATACCATTTTATGAATATGATAATTCTATTTTACTACTATATAATATATTATATTTATAAAATGTAATAGTATATATTTTATTAAATTCTTCAATAAATGTGATTTGACTAAAGTTAAATTAACAATTGAAAGCATGGTGGTCATAAACTTTGTATATTTCAAAAGAAAAAAAAAAACATCCAGGTACAATGCAACTAGTTGCATTAACTTTGATTGTCTCAATTTAAATCCTTTATGGATGACAGATTAAATGCTACCATATTTTACTGTATAATTCAGCCTTAAACATATCAAGCAATATGTACTGGTACCTTATAATGACAAATGTATGTGCAACAGCCATGTGCTATGCTTATCAGAAAATTGTGCTTAAATATTTTCAAATATATTCAATGATTGTAGTAAAGAGTGCCACAAACCATTATGAAGCCTTTCTACGGTCTAAAGAAAAATCCCAAATCATGACAGATGGCAACATTATTATTATTGGGGTTGCGTATTGTTTATTTTTCAGATAGATTGAATCATTTCAATTGATTAACAAAAAGTTGTCAGATAAAAACAACTTGTGCAAGACTCATTAGCTTAAAACACAGCATTTCTTGCTAATAGATATAATAAATATGAATCACAGACTTTGAAATTAAGAAAAATCAGGTTACTAAAAATGAATTTGCTGACATTTAATCAAATTCAAAATCAAAATTTAATAAAAAAATAAATTTTAAAGCAGATAAAAAACAAATATAAACTAAGCAGAAAATGCAAATAAAAACAAAAATAAACTAAAAATCATAAAAAATAATTCATCATTAACACCAAAATTAAAAAATAAAAATAAAAAATCAAATAAAAACAAGTTTAAAAGTTAAATAAATAAAAAACACATAAATAAAACAACATAAAGAAAAAAAATAAAAAATAAACCTTTAACTAAACCCTTTCCCAAATCAATAACAGAAAACTCATTGACAGAAAGTGATACAGTACCCTCAATTTGTTCACCGCCTACTGGCTTATTGTTATTTGGAAGTTCATTTGGAGTATTTGAGTCAATTTGTGATTGCTTGTTTGTTTTTAAGTCTGCTATTTTATTTTTGTTTTTTTTACCTCTTGTTTTACTCTTTTTTGCTAAAAAAAATAAAATAAAAATTAATGAAAAATAATGATATTTTTAGTTAGTTTTAATAATAAACAAACTGTTCAAATGTCAACACTGCCAACTTAGCAAAGTATAGTGCAAAGCCAACTGAATAAATCTACTATTGTTTTATTTCAAAAGTATTATTTTTTTTCAAAACAAGACTTATTAGAGCTTGTTTATAAATGAATGAAAACAGAATATTATATATATAGAGTATTTATAAATGAATGAAAACAGAATATTATATATACAGAGTATTAATAATTCCTACCAGGACTAGAGGTTTTAAAATTTTGTTCAGAAATTCTCCATCTTTGAAGAGTAAAATCATCACCACCTGAATACAACACATCACGATCTGAATAAGACCACATAACTGTATAAACACGCCCTATATGGCCCCCATAATGAGCAATACCCTCTCCAGTTAAAATATTCCAAACTTGGACAGAACCATCAAAAGAGGCTAAAGCTAGTACACCATTTGTATGTGGACTCCACAAAACTTGTGTAATACGGCCAGTTTGATTAGAAAGCTGGCGAGTAGGTTTAATGACACTTACTAACTCATTGTTATTGTTATTCAGTACATCTGCAACATCTGTAACACACACATTGTAATCATCAGAACCAGATGCTAACCAGCAAAGAAAATTTCCACCTAAAAAAAAGTAAAATTAAGTCAAAAATTTATATATATATATTTTATATATATATATATATATATATATATATCAAACATTATATATATATATATATATATATATATATATATATATATATATATATATATATATATATATATATATATATATATATATATATATATATTCAAACAATCGGAGCGAATAGAAGTTTACAAATCATTAACTATATAACATCATTACAAGTAATGGAAGGTTTTTAATCTATACCAATTGTGCGAACTTTTTTACCTTTATTTTTGTTAACTGGTGGTATTTTAAAAACGCACAAATTCATGATGAAATTAAAAAAACACGGTTTTTAAACACGATAGCATTGAGGCCCAATACACAGCAATTTAAAATTTAGATGCTTTTGATCTCATTCAGTTCACAAACTTCAAACCCTGACTGTTTAAAAAAGGTTTGTACAAGGTTAGTTTCAAGTTTCTTGGCTGATCATTATTCCTGTTAACCTCCAGCCATCATATCAGAGAGATTCATACAGCCATAGCTGTAAATCAAACTGTTAAACTAGGCAATAAACTATTTATATCACAAAACCATAAAAGGTTAAAAAACAATAAGGTAAAGATAAAACTGCTACACTTTAAATATCTTTTTGCAAAAACAAAATTAATATAATGAAAGTTTCTATTTTTAAAATTATTTACATATAGACTTTTGAGAAGAGCTGAGATTATTGTGAACTTGCAGAAATAAATCAGACCGTTAGGTGAAAATTAACAAAAATGGAGCTGTTTCACATGCCTTGAATTTCATAAAATTTAAGTTACATTTCTCAGGCAGGTTTTTATTCTGAGTGATAAAATACTCTCTTTTTTATTCTATATGATAAAATAGAATGGCTGACTAAATTTCTCTCTCCAGGGAATCAGGGTTTTTGACCTGCAACTTTTTTGAATCTGCAATTTTTAAATTAAAACTTAATTTCATAATTTTTGATATTTTAGTCTTACTAATTAAGAATAATTTATGTCATAAAGTAACAAATTGTTTAAAAACAACAGTTTAAAATCAGATTCAAATCATGGTAAAACCACGGGGGTGTTTGGTACTGGCGTTAGCATCTTTTGACCAGGATCACAATATAAAAATGACAAAAAGTTCTGTATTCAAAAATAAAGGGAGGTCCGAAAAGATGTAAAAATGGATAGAATTAAGACTGAAATTCTTTTGAAAGCAGTTTTTGTTGATAAAGACCAGCTGCTAGGTCTTGAGTTGTATATTTCACCAGACTACTGGTTAATTTTTGATATTTTAAGTCATAGTTTAAAAAAATACCTACGGATGAGACTTCCTCAGACATTTTGGGTACAATGAATTCCGAAACTGTTAAAATCTTTCAAAGTTGCTAACAACATATCTCATATCAGACAACATATCAACATATCAGAACTCACAACAAAATTGTAAATTTTGTTGTGAGTTCTGATATGTTATTAGGCATAGTTTAAGAAATTCGTTTTAAAAATAAAATGCAGGGTAGGATATAGATTTCTTAAAACAATAACGCTGAATTCTGAAGCAAAATTGCATTTCATTTTATTTTCACGCTTCACAAACAAGAGATCTATGGCAGTGACAGATCCAAAATTTTTTGGTGTTTGAGATATTTATTGAAATATTTGTATGTTTATACTTATGATAAATTATGGCCCTTTTTAAAAAGTTGCAATGATTGGAGGCTGGGAACAAAAAAAGCCCTAAAATTTTTTCCTTCTGCCCCAAACGTGAAAGTACTAAATTTATATTCATTGATAAATTTTAAGTATTGTTTAACAATCTCTAAACAATCAAAAATTATGACTATATAAAATTTGTAACTATATAAAATTTGTAACTATATAAAATTTGACAATATAAAATTTGTAAAGTTTAAACCCCCCTTAAATTGAGGGGGGTTTAAACTTTATATGGTTATAATTTATGAACTCTGAGAGATATTACTATGAAACTTAAACTTTATCAATGAATATAAACAAAGTTAAGAATTTCAAAAAAAATTATTTTACTAACTTGTTGCTCTCACATTTGGGGCAGGGGGGATGAAATTTTAAGGCTATTTTAATTTCCAGCCTCCAATCATTGCAATATTTTGCAAAGCATCATTATTTGACATAAGTATAAACATACAAATATTTTGAGTTTGCGCCATGTCTGTTCGCTATCTCAAACACCAAAAAATGGTGTTTGAGATCCTCCACTGATCTGTGGTTCAATACCTACTTGAGGTATTTTTTCGACATGAAGGAAGCGTAAACTTCCAAGTTAAATGCTCCTCTGTGATGCGACAATTAGGCCTTCTTGGATTTCCTAAAAAAATCTACTGAAAAATGTGAATATATATTTTTGAATCACATCGATACATTTTGATCTAATTTAGTTTACAACAACAGATCGAAAACCCTTTACCCAATCTTACAAGGAAACCATTTTGGATTTGGATTTGCTTGATCCAAGGCCTTGGATCAGGTAACAGTATTTATATGAAAAAAAAATCATTTGATAACAAAACGAGGCAAAAATTATAAAAATTGTTGTATGACTGAAAAAAAGCCTAAAGATCAACAAAAAATTACTTTACAGTAGCCAAAGTATTAGTTTATCTACCGTAATTAGTTAGATAAGCAAAATATATTCCTTAAATTAATAAACACAGTGTTTTTTTTGGTACAGGAACACATAAAGAAAACATCGCTGAACAAACTAACTGGATTTGATATCAGAATCTATTGGCACCAATGCTTGGAAATTGCCCTAAATTTAGTCTAAAATCACAAAAAAACTTCAAACAATTGACGCAAATACTTTTATCAATAAAAAATAAAAAAATTTTTTAATATAAATATGACCTCTTTGCCACTCATTAGCCACATTGCATAAAAATTGGTTATCGAAAAAAATTATGGGATTAGCTAATATATATATATATATATATATATATATATATATATATATATATATATATATATATATATATATATATATATATATATATATATATATATATATATATATATATATATATAAAGAGAGAGATCAAAATAAGTGCCAGATTTGGACTGTTTTTGTGACTGATATATATTAGACAAGAATGGCCTGCCATTGCACTATATTCCTGAATACACATATAACTTTTTTTTGACAACTTAAGCTGTTTAGATGTTTTGACAGTTTAATCATTTCAGAAATGCACTTAAAACACAAAGCTAAACTTGACTAGGAAAAAAATTCATAAAAAAAGTAAACTAAAAAAAAAAAATTCCTTGCAAAAAATGTATATATAACTAAACTAAAACTCAAAAAACTCGAGTGAAAATTATTTTATATTACATTTTTAATTGCATTTGAAATAAACAACTTTAAAGCATTTATCTTTAAAAATGCTTTGCTTAAAGTTGCACAAAATGCTTTTAAATAAAATAACAAACTACTTTTAATAATTGAAAAAATTCTATTTAAATTATCAAGGAGATATGTAGTGTTTTTATTTGTATAAGCAGGGGTGGATCCAGGGTAATGCCAGGGTGTTATATTTTTACGTAAGTTTTAGAAAAAAAATAGAAGCCAAAAACTTATTCAGTGAATTTCACTGAAATAAAATTTAATTTAATTTTAAATTTTAACTATTTAACGTAAACTCACCTTTAAAATATTTTTTTTTACTTATTTACAAAAAATTCTTATGTTTTGGAGCAACTAAGCAATTGTTCTCCATAATCTTTAATCATGATAGGTTAAAAATTTCATTTATAATGTTTTAACCAACCATCTTTAAACACGATAAAAAGAAAAATGCATCAGTTGTTACAAATCATCTGAAAATTTTTCTAAAATGTACAAAAATGATTGGTTAAAACTTTATTAAAATTTTTAGAAACCAATAATAAGAGAACAATTGCATCAGTTGTTCCTAAATATAAGAAAATTATAAAAAATATAAGACAACTTCTAATCATCATGCTAAAAAAAAAATCGGTAAAAAAAATCTGCGCAGAACAAATACTGATGTAAAAACTGGGGTCACTGAGATGCGACCACCCCAGTTGACCTCTAGATTTATATATGTTCCACTTCTCTTAATTTTAACAATCTGATGATATATGCAGTAAAAGATATTTAAAGCTATATAGAAATGAAAAATAAACAAAAATATAATATATAAATATAAAAGTCAAAAAAGGAGCAAACACATTATTTTTTGCATCACCTCTCTTTGATGGCACCCTTGAAAATGGTCCTCAAACTATCACCCCTATTCACTTGAATCAATTTTATTTAAAAATCCCAGAGGGAGAGCTGTTTCAAAAAAATCATGCATCACCCTCAAAAAATTATAAATATCTCCTGATGTTCAAATTAAGCCCAATTAATTGCCCAGATGTTTAAATTATGTTCTCAAGTATGGATAAGAGAGCTGCAAAAAGTCAAATAGGGGGAAAAAATATATTTAAAAGTCAAATCCAGCATCCTACTACTTACAACTATTGGAATACAATACATAAACATAATTACAATTATGTTAATTTAACAAATATTATGCTATTTGTAAATATTGATCAAAAATTATTTAAAATTTTTAAAAATTTAACAACAACTACAAATAAAATTACAAAAATATAGTTAGGGTAGAGCGGGGCTAGTTGAGCAGTTTTTACTAAATCTAACAGATCTCATGAACTGTGCATCAGATTCACATAATTTTTTTAAATATTTGAAAGAAAATTTAGCCTGCTAAAAAAATGTATAGTATTTATTTTCAGAAGATATTGCTTAAAGTTTGGGAAGCTGTCCCAAGTTGAGCAATAGTGTGGGGTAAGTTGAGCAATCAACATGTAAATGAATATGCATGGTACAAAACTTGAGTAAATTATCAATAAAAATTTCACTATCAGTAAGTGTGTGTATAATTTATAAACTTTTTATTTTATACACTTAAATGACGTAAGTAAGA